CACTCAATGGCTGCTGAAGTCAGCACTATTGACGGACACCTGTCACTGCAGTATTTGTGTGTGTGTGTGTGTGTGTGTGTGTGTGTGTGTGTGTGTGTGTGTGTGTGTGTGTGTGTGTGTGTGTGTGTGTGTGTGTGTGTGTGTGTGTGTGTGTGTGTGTGTGTGTGTGGCCTAGCATTACTATACTTGTGGGGACCTAAATCTGTCTACACAGTCACGTGTGGGGACATTATGGGGACAACATGGAGGTCCCCATGAGGGGAATCATTAATTTTAGGGTGAAGACTTGGTTAGGTTTAGGGTTAGGATTAGGGTAAGGGTTAGGGTAAGGGTTAGGGTTAGGGTTAGGGTTAGGCATGTGTTGGTTATGGTTAAGGTTAGGATAAGTCTCCAGGAAATGCATGTAAGTCAATGTAATGTCCCCTGAAGTGATGTATACATGGTATGTGTGTGTGTGTGTGTGTGTGTGTGTGTGTGTGTGTGTGTGTGTGTGTGTGTGTGTGTGTGTGTGTGTGTGTGTGTGTGTGTGTGTGTGTGTGTGTGTGTGTGTGTGTGTGTGTGTGTGTGTCTAGTCTACTGTTTATAGTTGCCTCAAGAAAGTCACACTATGCAGGATATATTTTCCAATTGTCCTGCAGCGGGGGTTGGTGATGACATTCACCGTGATTTTGTAATTGATTCCCCTGGACTCATTTGTTATGAGTTCCATTGGTATTTACACACACTGGACTTGGCAGAATCAGGCCAGTGTAAGACCTTACATGTACTCTATCGCTGTAAATTGACTCCAAGTTCTCTAACTACATCCCTGCAGGCTCCGCATGAAAGAGCACAAAATATGTATAGTATACCCACAGCTTAGAGCACAATGTGGCTTTAACAGATTGACCCTGTGCAGTCATAAAGTATATGCAATATGTGTTTAACACACAAATAAATGACGTGACAGTAATGTGAAAACTTGGCCCCAGGGTTATGAGGCAAGAAGGTAAATGTTTTGCTGTGACACAACCATCTCCTAATTTAAAAGGGAAATATTATGCACAAAGTAGTTTAACTGTAAGATGAAAAAGGGCCAAAAGCATTTGTACAGGTTCATATTTTTCTATTTTATGATCAGCAAATTCGTGGGAATCTCCTTATTTCGCCATTATTATGAACATATAAGCAAATAACAACAATGTGAAGCTCAGGAAAAAGATCATAAGTCTCCCTTTTAGTCACTTTTCCATGCACTTCCTGAGATGTCATCTAAAATTAGATGAGTGAGCAGAAAAAAACATGTTGGTCTTTGATAGATATGGAGACGGGCTGCAGGCAACAAAACCTCTACCAGTATCAGTCTGTTAATCATTTTGAAAAGATGGAGATACATTGTATGTTTCATCTTTCTATTGCAGTTTTTTCCTGCAGTGCCTGCTTTTGTGCATTGATCCTGACATCTTGCACATTTACACAAAAACACAATTCATCACCTCAGATGTATGCAATTACAACAAATGACAGTCTCTTCCAAACCTTTTGCAATACAGAGTCTAATCCTTATATTCATTGTATGAGAAATGAAATCCTGTTTGCTTGGTTTTACATCATGCTTCTATTATCCCATGTGTGAATAGCAGTCCTTTCTGGTCACCTGTAATATCTGATAAGCAGGGTAATTCTCCCACTCTCAGGCTTTGCAGTCATTTTCTAATACAAGGGCTGTAATCACTCTGTGAGACCTGTCTCATGCTAAAGAAAGCTGTTGTGGGAAATGAAAGGCCTACAGGCAACCCTGCCGGATAATTGAGGGCTGTTAGCGGTGGCAGTGATGTTTTTTTTTATTGAAGATTTAATGTTACTCTGCATCCTAGAGGAGGATGTTGGATATCGACCGACAATAAAGGCTATAAGGCCAGGGCAGGATCTGAGGCTATTGATCTGTGAGGAAAGCAGAGCGGCAACTGCTACGTTCAGGTGGTTCTGTGGGATAGGCCAGCAAGGTCAACTGGGCCAGGCCAGGCAACGCTGTGACGTGGTGTATATTTGATATGTAAAAATAGATTCATTGATTTTTTCATTGGGGTATTAGAATTCAGATCGTGCTAAGTGCGAGACGAAACTCCACCCAAAGCGGATCTGGTTTTCAAAGTCGAGGAAAGGGGCATTTGATTTTCAACTGAGAGATTCCATGCTGTGTTCCTATTGACCGGAGGTTGAGAGGAAGAGATCAGTCCAGGTGCACAGTGAAGGAGAGGCCACTGTATCCCTGAAAAATGTATTATGTTACAGTCCTCTTCCAGGTTTCTGCTATTTTATTCTCTGCTAGAGTATAACCAATCTATTGCCCTTTTCTATGAGTTTCTGGAAGTCTCATCGTAACCTTTATATCTTAAAGTTAAGCAGCAGCTAAATATAGTTTAAAAAAGATTTTTAGACTCAAATCTCTGTGACATTTTGGTGTATAGGCTGCTGTCCTATTTTGAAAAGGATTAAAGGTTTCAGTGAGCATGTATGCCTTAGCTGACGTATAGGTAGAAGGGCTTTGGGGTTATATGCCTGATAATCTGGCTTTGCTGTTTTCATTTCTGCAAATAGAGCAAAATGTATGAAGAAAGCCTTTTCCTTTGAATTTGTGTTGGACACTCACTGTCCCAAGAGAGGATCGGTTCTCCATCTATCATCACACAGGCTGCTTTTGGGGTTGCAGCGATATGGTCCCCAAGCCTCTCTCCTCCATTTGGATGCAATGTGGCGACACTGCAGAAATCTGTTCGCTAAAAATAGTGCTCTCTATAAATGGCGCTTGTGATGCACAGCTATGGTTGTCTTCCTGTTCCTTATGATCCTCCCAAGAGGATGAGGCACACACTGAAATGTCAACCAGGAAGGAACTGTTTCACTTCCTCAATGAAGCCAGTTTTGAAGGGTTGGCACAGTGTCATTGAAAAAAGAAATAACGTCAAACCCTAATTATTTTTGCTTCAAATTATAAATCCTGGCATCTCTGACTAGAGAAACATGGGAATATAGTGCTCTCACTATAGGACAATATAGGAATCAAGACCGTATCCAGTTCTTATAATAGATCCGTGCTTTGTACTCGCCACCTCTTTTGTAGAGATGTGTACATTTTTAACTGGAGCAAAACAACATATGCAGGCTTCCTTAAAGAGCAACTTTAAAAGTTTTTTTTACTACATTTATGCTTAACCTTGCCTGAAAATTACAATTAAAAAAGTTAATGTAGGATTTCATGTTATTTAAGGGCAGGAATTCAGAGGGGAAAGTAGTGTAGTAGTAGTTTTTTTTTTTAACGTCAAACGCGTCATATTACGTCACATAGGGGAGCAACTTTCTCGGACTCCTTCTCTGCCCAAGTCACGGTAGTAGTTGGTAGTTGGTAGTTGGTTTGAGCGGTTGTGATTTAGTGAGCTGGTATTTTTTCGGTAATTTTACATTGCATTTCATCATTTTTAATCATGGTGAGCTATTGTGTGTTGTGCAGGTTGCACAAACTCCAGCTTTCGTTCCTGGGTGCATTGTGCGAGGTGCATCCACCACCCTGCAGCGCATACTCTCTCCAGAGGCCATGGACTGGCATTTCCCACACAACAAGCCCCTATCAAACATAACGTTAACAGGAAACCGTATTACATCTCTCTCCCCCCCTTCGCTGCTCTGTCTCTCCCCTCGGTGTGGTTTAGGTAACGCGAGATACCGCTGATACTTGCGCATTAGTTTCTGTTATGGATCAGTATCAACAGTCCTGCCAGTAACGTTACTATATTATCAATACTACTTTAGTTATAGCCTGATATATGATAACTAACTTTACAATGTTGTGATGTGACCGACGTTAGCTAACATATCACTCACCAAGACAGCTGCCCAGTTCTCCACTGGTTCTCCTCACACCACAGCTCCATTTCTCTCCGATGGCCGTTATTTCTTCTCATCCTTGGCTGCTCCTGGTCTCTTGGACGCCTAGCAGCAGGCTCATAATTATAAGGTTGTGGTCCGTCATATGCATACGAATATACATTTTCAACCTCTTCTGTGTCAAAACTAGCATTGTGAACCATGTTTATGCATATGTTAGGCCGGCCGCTCTCCCTGTGTGACGTCACACGTGGGTGGTCTTTTTTTATGCGGAAGTAAAAATGTCTGACAAAAACTACGCCAGATATCACTGTAGTGTATATTTCTGTATATTTTTGGGACAATCTAGTCACTAGAGTCTAGTGTATAGATCATTTTCCTACACATCTATTCACTGGGGTCTCTAACCTGCAAGTTGCTCTTTAGGTGTTTCAAATAACTTTAGATTTCGGTTCGTTATTGTCAGTTAGTTGAAAATGCCATCTCCGACTGACTTTTTAAGATGTCAACTGTTTCTTTTAATGTGATCTGTAACTCCCAAAAGGTCAAGTTAAATATTATTCAAAGACTCTTTGTCATCGATGACTAGGTTCGGCTTAACATTAAGCTAGTTAGACGGACCTGCTAACAATTTTAGAGCAAATAAGCCAAAATGTTAATCCAACCTTGTTTTTTTGTATCTTTGGCTTTGGAAAAGCCAAATCAAGCTAACAAACTCTTCAGAGTATAGCTGTTACTAATAGCCCCGTGTACTCCACCTCAGCATGTATGCAAAATAAATTCCCAAATTGGGATTAATAAAGTACTTAATTTATTTTATTTTATGTATGATAGAGAAATGTAAGGTGTGTGGCGCAGTGGATAGAGCCTTGGTTTTGGGATCAGGGGGTCACAGGTTCAAACCCCACTGCAGTCAGCATGTCGTTGTGTCCCTGAGACACTTCACCCCAAATTGCTCCTGTGGGAATTGTCCACAGTATTGAGTATGTAAGTCGCTGTGGTTAAAAGCGTCGTAAAATGTCAATCTAAAGCTTTTCATCATGGCTGCTGAGCTGAGATTGGACCATCCCTGTAAAAGGTCAATTATGAGACCCAAGACCTGAGTTGAAATTAAAAATGGAATTACCATGTACATCTAAATTTAACCCATTTATTAGCTTTTTTGCACACTTACAATCAAGGATTAATCAAATATCCATTGGCATTATTTACTCTACCTACACAACATCATATATCCAACACGTAATGACAACATCAGACATAACGTTTTACAATGGCAAACAGATCTAGGCAGTGCTTTCCTCATTTAAGTTAGCCCCAGTCATAACACACCATTTTTACCCATCACACAAAACAGTGAATTTAAAGTTTGTTTGATATTGCATAATTATGCTAAGGGTGAAATGACATGCAGTGGCGATATCAAAGCCTACGATAAGTATGTGTTATCAGTGGAGTATAGTGATATTCCATTGCTAACTCACAGCACCATATGGGTACATCCATGTTTAAAAAACAGCTACTGGGCAATTGCACATTTAGTTTGTGGGAAGTTGATGAGTTGTAATGATGTTGCCCCTGAGGTTGCTTTGTTGCTTCATCTAGTGATAGAGTAGCTGTTGGTACACTTCCAGCCCTCTGAGGTGAGAACAGGGTTAGTGATGTAAGCCCCAACAGGAGGAACCTGATTAACACATCATGTGCATATCGTACACAACACTGTGCATACTTTACAAACTCACACTGCCTTGTACTTTGTGTGCTCAGCTAGTCATGCTGGCAGTAAAGTGACCATAGTTTTTTTTATTTTATTGACGAATACAGTATGTGCCTTAGAGGGTGCAATCTATTGCCTATGTAGTTAATACTCTTCATTGATGGTGACATGATACTACCATCTCTTTCTTCTTCTTCACACTCAAACTTAGAGACGGTACTTTCTCAGGAGCTCTGATTGCCAGATGTACTTCCGCTCGGGAAAGCGTTCAGGAATCCTGATGCGCCGGAAGTCCTGGATGCATTTCTCCAGCTCCTGCTCCGGAGTCATCTTCCCCTTGTTGGCTTTCCTCTTTGCGGCCTCTCGCTCTCGGACCCCGAAGGTTCTCACGCGCATCATGTCAGTCTTGCGACGCATCTCCGCCTGCTGAAGATGATGGACTTGTCCTTTGGGCATGGGACGGTCCAGTGTCTGGATGTTTGAGTGCCGGCTCACAGGGCCACAGATCACGGTTCCTTGAGGGGAACTAGCCTCCGACTGGGTCTCAGAACAGGAAGTGGAGAGTTCGTTGAAAGAAGTGCCGCTCTCTCCCTCCCGCTCACTTTTGTGGCTCTTGCAGCAGCAGCAGTCACAGTGAGAGGACATCCACTTTGAGGGACCACCTAGATAACAAACACACAAACACATTTGTCACTCATTTTGCAGTACATTTTCTGTTGTCGCAAGACCCTCTGTCATGCAGAATAGACTAACGTCTAACCTGTCTGTATGGCGACAATTCAAGCTCTAATCAAAACAAACATTTGCACTGATAAAGCAAATACTGACAGATGCTTACGCAGCAGTTTTAACATCATACAAACATCTTTAAATGAGTATCAGATGACTGCGAGTGTGTGTGGGTATTAAGGGGGGTACAGATGTAAGCACATGGAAATTATTGGCTTTGACATTTACTGTAGTTGCTGAATTTCAAAGTCCTTGTGGGCTATGTATATTGCTTCCTCTGATAAAGAGAGTCCCCAAAGCTCAGTTCATTTCAGTACGGCGCCCCAAAAGACCTTTCCCATTTCCCAAGGCAAAGCTCGTCTCAGAGCCAAAACAATCTGCTCCGCTGTCACAGTTTCTTATTAGAACTGTAACCTGACTGACTTGTATTAAGAATGTATTTCAGTGAAATAACTCAACAAGATGTTTTCTACCTTTGGGGGGGGGACACAAAGTAGAAAAAGTGTATAATTTATCTTGGGAGTTAACAGAACTGGGTCAGTGAAAAGATGTGCTGACCTCTTGTCATGAAGTTTGGACAGAAAGTGAACCAGGTGGTAACTGAGGATTTCAGCAGTCTTCATACTTCCTGGTGTGCCCCCTTTTTGTATAGTCTCACATCCCCCTACATTGCTAATTATGAACCAGAGTTACTGTAATGTACTGCCCGCTGGCTTGTGAGTGGATAGTACATAATTTAACTGCCTTTCATTTACCAAAATATCCCTGAACTATGCTCGCATTTAGAGGTAGAGATGTGCAGTGTGGAAGCTTATGTGCCCTGTGTAATATAAACAACAGTGTATAAGAAATAAACCCATTAATACAGACTCTAAAAACCTCTTAATGGCTTTTTCCAATGGGATGATACAGACTCAATAGCAATGATATCTCAGAGGGAGTAATAATTTGTCCATTAGCATCTTCCAATGCTTCCACCAATTTATACTCAACAGTTCAAGGGGGATTTGAACCTCTCTGCACACACTGTAATAATTACCTTATCTCTAGTGCAATGATTGCATTGAGCTGATAGTGAGAGAGTCACTAACAGCTTTTTAATGGCTAATCCATGAGTATAGGGGCCAATCAACGCACCAATTTCCCTCCGCAGAAAATGATTCTAGCTGATTCTAGCTGATTCTAGCAGACGAGCAGCACCAGGCAAATGGATACAGGCGCTTTAGCAATGAAGAGGAGGGAGGCAGAGCTTGGTTGCTAAATGGTGGATGCTGTAGTACGGAGGGGCAAACCATTTAGGAAACTAGCCAACACCCAATAATAGCAGCATAACATGTTCAGGCCATGCAAGAGTATGAATTGCTTTAAAGCCACTGATGGGCTTAGAAGCACCTTGCATTTTGTTTCAGACAACACATTGTCAGAACGAAGTGTGGACATGGCCGAAAAGGGAAAAACCAACTGTGTGTTTTGGGTGAAGTGTTGTAGTGTCAAGTTTTTAAAAAACCTTCAGAGCCAAGACAGGAAACAACTAAGAGCCTTGTCAGGAAACCGTCATTCTCGGGTACATTTAAACAAGTGGGCATGTGTAATACTCTTTGGTATCTTTTCAGGGAAGCTATTGATTGCATTGTGTTTTTTCCTCAGATCTATATTGGCTGTCTAAGAGATCATGTTCCAACCACATTAAAAGACTTGGGCTGGTCCTCAGACTGAGGCTGTGTCGGCACTTCTCATAAATAACACAGAGAGAGGGAGTGGAGTCCGGCAGAGAGGCATGCGGGGGTGTCACATGGGGTATCCTCAAACTCCTCCATCGCTAATGAATGCAGGGGTGTTTGTCCTCGTGTCTTAGAGAGGTCAGAGTTATATGGAAATTCAACTGCCTGCCATTGCATTAAAATCAAACGTTTTCCCCATTAGGAGGATATGATTGGCATAAAAGTAGGACATTGTGGTGGCTGAAGGCAGAGGGTTCTGACAAACTCAAATTCAAATGTCAGTGGCTTTCTTGCCAGAATTAGTGTTTGCTTTAATCCGTGCCTCTAAAGTGATTCATCAAGGGTGTGTGATGATTATTCATTTGTTTCAAGCTCTGTGCTTTAGTCAAGTAATCTAAAAGGCAAAAAATAAATAAAGCCAAACAAGAAAGGCTCATCACTCACTTTACGTTGTAAATGCACATAACCAGAAGGCTGAAACTCCATTTATTTCTGATTTGCACTTGTGTGACCTGAAGCTGTCCTTCTTTCAAATGTAAATCTTAGCACTGTTGTGAACTGTGCCCTCAATCTAAATCAATGGAAATATGTTGAACATGAAGCAGCCAGAGTCAGGAAAAATAAACAACTTTCTGGAACAAAATTACTTGTTTTCTGTGCGAGAACACAACACAATCCTGCAAGGCTGAGTGGTGTGAGATATCTTCAGACGCTTCAGTAGCTGCTTGATTCTAATGCAAGGATATTCTCTTGCCTAGACTTTGGGCGAGAAACAAAAAAAAAGGAAGAAAAAAGGGAGTCCTGATTATATGGTGAAAAAACTCCACTTTGTTTTTCTGGCAGGATAAATATGCATATGCATGCAGCCAGGGAGATAAGCTATGAGCTCTGATCTCACACTGATGTTATTTTCTCCAGCTCCCATATCCAGTCACAAATATGTTTTACTCCGCCACTGCCTCAGGAGGAGTGTAGTTTACATGCTTGTTAGCTCACAAATTAGGCCAGTGTGTCCTTGCAGCAAAAAAAGGCTTGTCTTGCAAAGGCAGTGACCGTCCTTACAGGGTGAAGGAAATCTATTTCTCCGAGATAGTCCTATTTGGTGCAAAAGTATCACTTCAGCAGTTTGTGTCCAGCATAACTGATGGCAGCTATCCTCTTTAATAATGTCTGTAATATCTGCATACAATTGAATTTGTCAATATTAATAACCTCCACGCAGCCAGCTCTGCTGAAACAACCCTCATCTGCAGCAGTGATGAGAAGGAGCTGGAGCTTAACATGATTACTCAAGGACACTCTTACGCTCTCAAAGACCTCATACTGCCCTGGTCCAAATTATCTGTTTTCCGTGAGGGGGCTGACGTCTCTATTGGCTGATTGATAATGACAAGTGGGGTGCTGTCTCCTCACAGAGTCCGAGGGAGGCTGCCCCGCTGAGTGTCTCCCTGACAGGGAGATGAACAAGCAAGGCAGATAGATTGAAACGTCTATATCAGCCTCTCCCTGTGGGACTGTCCCCTGACCCAGAACCACACCCCGCCACAATACAAGCACTGATGAAGCGAGACGAGGCGGGGAGAAGCAAAGGTGTCCTGAGTATTCACAGCACTAGTCATCAGCATCGAGGGGCTTAAGGAAGGTCCCTCAACCTGACAAATAGCTGATATTTTAAAAAATGATGTCCAATGAAAGTGAACTCTAAGCTCATGAGATCCTCTTTAAATTTCAACATGACTGACTCAAACTGGGTCCGATTTTCGGGAAGTAGATACATTGTATCACCGAACATGCTTTAATTTGCTCTTTACACAATCTTGCCATGACAATCACAATCATGCAAATGTTTCTCCTGCTTACCAACACATGGGATCCCACATATTCGTAAAAATCTCTCAGCCCTACCCATAGCGAGCTCCACTGCCCAAGTACTGTAGCCATTAAGTGTCTCTGGAGGGTATATTAAGGTGTTGAATGTCAGATGGTAAGAGCTACCTGGTGTCCAACGGCTAGAGAGAGCAGGACCAACACAGACTCAGGGATTAAAAAAAGACAATATTCAATTTACATCTTAAAATGTAAACAAGCTAACTTTCTCTGTTTTTGTTTCAAAGGGCTATACTGGAGGTTTTAAGTGTTTTATGTTTAGATTGATGGCGTGCATTTAATGCAGACACTGCCTCTACTCTTTCCAATATGGGCACTGCAAATTGCTTAATGTGGGTCATCCATCAAAGTCTATATTTAGTCTTTTTATTTGTCAAAATCGCATTATCATCACTTGGTAATGAAGTTACAAGCAGGAACTCTCCTTTTGAAAAGTCTCCTTGTTGGTGCGTTCAAGGGCACTTGCAACATCTGTAATTCAGCACTCATTACAGTATATATTGTTGTTAAATCCAAGCCAAAAACTAAAACGTTGACCAAAAAAAGGATAATGAAATGTTGATTATGATATATTGCCTATGCTTGTTCTCTGCAAGTCCATTTAAATACTGGAGTGGGATGACACGGAGACACCTGGCTGCAAATAAATCAATATAAAAGCTTCTAGTTACATTTAGAAAACATGCAGCAGTGATATGAAAACCATCTGTAGTCAATGATCTTAACCATGAAAAACCACCAGCATAGTCCCTCTAAATTCAGAGTATGAGGTTTCAAACGAATAATTGATTTCCAAAACGTATTTTCCTTTTGAATCTGCAATCAATCTACAATTTTTAATAGGGTGATATTTACTCCCAAGGTGAGCCAGATTGTCCACTTTACTTGATGCATTGCAAAAGGTGCTGCAACCATTGTGAGAAATAATGGCACAAGCACACACCGCGCCTTACTTCTGACCATCTTTCCACCCAGGTGCTCTTTAAGATGTATATGAGTTATTCAGGGGAGCACCATCTATCTCCTGCAGGTAATGCCAATCCATCCAGACTCCACCCAGGCTCTCTGGGAGCTCGGGGACGGCCCAATCTTTGCCTCCATTACACCTAAGCAATTGATTACTTCCCCCTCCCAACTCTCTCGCTGTCGCCTTATGGCCATTGTTCATTATGGCGACACATCATCTCATTCACTGCTCAAATGAAGACTGCATAGTTATTAACAGAGCACCTGGCAAATGCAATCATTCTCCATCTGTATGTGTCGCCCATTTTGACAAGGCACTTCTGCACAGGCCTTTCAGATGTAGAAGGATGAAAAAGTCTCTGATGTTGCCAGGTTGACTGTTCGATGATGGTTTGCTCTGCCTCTGTGATGTGGAATGTCAAAGCAGGTCATTGTGTCCATGACAACGGATAATTTGCCTACATGAATTGACTTTTATTTTGAAATACAGTATGACTTATACTTTAAATTGCCTTTGAAATAGGTTAGCATTTATCTTTCTAGATTGCTTCTCCATCCTGCATGACTGGAGACACTGGAAATATTTTGGGATCACAGATTGCTTTTTAATTAGCTCACACTCGTCTATTTCCCCAGAGATGATAAGCAATAAGGTGATTGGTCCCAGACGTCAACTGGGAGGTTAGAGTTGTAAATCACTACAACAATAATGTTGATACTGCCAAACGGAAAAATAAATAAATGTCCCTGTCAAGCTAATTAACTAATGTGTCAGCTTGTGCTTGACAAATAACCTCACAGGATCACCAACTATTGAAGATCATTTTTACCGGTAAAAGAAAAAACTTGTGAATTTATTAATGAGGAAAGAAATGTGCCTTTGATAAGTTTACTTATTTAGTGATGCTATTTTATAAACTCCATAAGAATTGTGAACAATCCAACAACTTTGACTTTTTAAACTTAAATATAACAACAAATACCTCTCAATCTGTTGTCAAGAAAAACAAATTATTTAAATCTCGTAATTTTGACTTCACTCTCAGAGTTCCTTTTTTTTAACCACGACTAACATTTCCTCTTTGCTGATTGAACAAACCAGCTTCCATTATATGTCCTATTCAATCTGCTCGTTAGTCAGTTTGGGCATATATGGCTTTGGCTCAGTTGTTTATTCAAGGGGTGAAGTCCTTTCGACCTTTAGGTAATTATTCATCATGGCCATCCGGAGAAAAAAACTCTTGTTCATGATGAATGCTCGGACACAGGGGCCTCCTAGGGAGGGTGCCCTTTTCGTGAAAGACTCATTTGTTTTGGTCAGTGAATAAACCAACAGCATACCCTACTTAGCAGGACAGGGTGACAATAATTAAGAGCAGAGCGTAATACATTTATAAGGGTACAAGTCCCCTGACTGCTGTTGTTAATACAGATGATGCCATGCAGTAAAATTATGAATATCTACTGTTGGCCTTTGGGAAACTTTTCGGAGTCCACACTATTACTGAGAGTCTGTGGAGCCTCTAGAAAACAACTCATGCATTTAACAAGAAGAGCAACATGTATGATGCTCAAGAACTGGCAGTCTGGAAGAAAGTCTCTCAATTTATTTACTGCCCCGGAATACCCTTTTTACACTCTGAACAAACCCAGCCGCGCCGTTTCACTCCATGTGAGCCTCTGATTGGATGGGATGGGGGTAAAAAGAAAGCAGTGAAATGTTCTGCTGAGAGCAACAATAAAGCACATCTGACTCATGACCACGAAAGGTGCACTTGTCTACATGCATTCTTGGATTAGGACTACCTGCCCTAGGCCAGCCAATGTCCCACATTCAGAATCATGTCACTGTATTAGTTTTGAAAGTGGATGTGCGCCACTGTGCTGCCGTGAATAACGGCCTCTCACGCATGTCTGCCTCTGATGTGTCTATCCATCATTCTGACTTGGCCTCTGTCTCCCAACGCTCGCTGTATATCTGCCTTTTTCATTTGAACCCTCACCTTGTCTTCTCTCTTTAATGAAAACCCTGTCTCTCCCTCTTCTTCTGTGTCTTGCCGCAAAATACTTCTTTATTCCTCTCCACTTCCTCACACCCCATGAACTTTCCTGCCTGATACTAACTTTAATCTATTTTTGCGCCTTGCTCCCACTCTCTTCTTTCTGCCTCAGTTCTTTCTCCCCATGGCCAGGTCTCATGCAACTTTTACTCTCTCTTCCCTCCTGCTCAGCCGCTCTCCCCTCCATCTGCTTGCTTCCATCTGAGCTCTCATGGCTTTTCTTACTCTGCATTTTATTTCCTACCATGCTATTACATTTTGTCCCCCTTTTTTTAATCACCTCCTCATTCACCATTCCACTGTCTTTGTCCTGTGGAACAGTGTCTTTAATGGGGAGCGGGGTCAACACCTACACCAGATGCTGTGTTCCAGAAACTTGGCTGGATGTGCGTGCGGGTCAAGGCATACTCCTCTGTTATAATTAGCCTGCATTAACTCTATTGGTGAATCATTAGCAAACCATATGTCATGCCCACTGTCCTGCACCCCCAACATTAACCCCCCAACTGGGTTATCTCCAGCTCCTCCAAAGGGAGCCATTCAGAATAATGAACAAAGTGTTTTTTAACTGGCCATATGGTCCAACTCCACCTTCTGCAGAGAATGGAATAAACCATGTGTGTGGCTAATGAAGGCATTTGCTGATGAATTCACTCTGTCATTAAGAGAAAAGCAAAGCTGCTTCAAGAAATTGCAGTGTGTTTTCTTTTTTTGCTGCCCAATGTTGCTATATTATTCATGACCCATTTGAGTCGTAATCCATGTTTGCGCATGATGCATTGTGTACTTGAAGTGTAGCAGCATTGTGACTGAACACCCTTGAGGCCTTTGGGCACTCTTGCCTTTTATCTGGACCCCAAAACAGAAGTCTGCCACTGCAAGGGATGCAAGGATTCATGAAGGATGTGTGGATGCCTCCTGGTGGTGTGAGCCAACACACCAGATCCTGCAGATCACCTCTTAAACTAGACAATTAGAAACACATAGCATGATGGGACTTCTTATAGAACGCTTTGTGGACAAAATGTGTATACCCATTAACCAGAAAAACGTCTTTTTGGTGGACATCATGCAACACCATATTCTAATTTGCCTGATGTGTAAGGGAGGGAGGGGCACTTGGTTTGCACTTGTGCACTGTCATTATTTCTGGAAAATCACCAATTTATCTCACATCACCTTTGAAAGTATAGAGCAGGAATAAATCTTCACTCACGGTAGAAGATGTACTGCGCGTAATTGGACCAGACCTTGTCATCCGCGTAATGACCGATGGAGGACGCAGACAGGGACGAATTACAGGCCACAATGTGAAAGCCGCTTTCTGACAGCATGTCAAAAGCTCTCTCCAGGTGTCTGAACTTGAGGAAAAATCTGCAGCTGTAACGGTCCGGTGGCCTGTCCGTGTCCCTGTTCTCATTCAGGGCATCTCCAAATACCTCTTTTGCCAAGCCAATCCTACTGCTGATGAAGATCCTCGGTAACTTTTTGGCCTTAACATCAATTTGAGTGTCTCTTCCTCCCCCAGCACAAGCGCCTTTAAAAGCGACCGTGATGTAGCCGTACCTCCTGTCCAAAGAGTAAGAGGAGTAAAACCTCTCGCTGCCCTGCGACGCATCATCGAAATCACTGAAGTCGTCTTGAAATAGTTTTGAATCATCAGAAGATACAAGTTTGGCTAAATCTGGCAGCTGAAAGTATTCCGCCTCTCTTTTTAACCTTCCCCTCTCAGGGAAGTGATCAGGGAGGACAACCAGCTTGTCTCTAAGGTAATCCAATACGTAACGAAAAAGAAAACCATCTCTGTCAATAAAATAACGTCCTCTGAGGTCCCGGGACAAGTCATTTGAGGAGCCCTTCTTGTTAGAAAACAGCTTCCCAAGTAAGGAATTTGGAAAGCTTGTCAAGGTGGCAAGGCGAGTGTAATACACCTGTCCACCCACGTTGAGCTCAACAACATCCGATGGAGGGTTTTGCACCAAACCTTGCTCTTTTGCAGGTTCCGTTTTGCAGTTTTCACTCAGTGCCATTTTCTCTTTTCCCGATCTTGCACGAAATCTGAGTCTCGATCACAGAGCGTAAAACGTCCCAGAAGTTCAGAGCGTGGGGTGTAGCTGCATGGGGCTGATGCCCTCAGACCAAAAGCATAGTCCTGATTGAAGCTGCAGTCCTTGCATCCAGAGTCTCGTGACATACAATCCAAAGGTGTGCCTACAGTATATCCTTTAACCCCATGCGTAAATGTGCCTGCCCTTCGGTGTATCCTTTCCGAACAGAATCGATTATCATAACCAGTGAGCGCACCACGTTACACACATCCTCTGCGATGGGTCATTACTGTGACTTCAAGGAAATACAATCCTCACTTCACTCTGAAATGTCCCACCTCAAAAAAAAGTAAAACCCCTTTTTTTTGCCTAAGTTTTTTTCTGTGGAAATGTCTACCGCCTTGCGTCTGGCTCCTGGATCTATCACATCAATTGAAGAGTGTGCGTGCATCCAATCCCTACTGAGCGTCTCTCCTGACAACTGTGATCCTGAAACAGGCTCCGGGGAGGATGAAAGTGGGACTCTTGTGCGCGCCCATCTCTCCAAACTGCTGAGTGCGGAAACGCTTGGTCCGGCAGAAGCTTTAAGATAATGTTGCTGCAAGCAGTGCAAGAGAGAGAGGGAGAGTAAAAAAATCGTCCCGTGAAGTAATGTCTTACATCATCTTAAAGGAAAATGACATTTCCAGACGATCGACATAAAACGGACCGATGTGGGTCTGTGCCGTTTTCCATTGGATTGTGATCCAGCAATAGGCGGCGTGCAGCTGGCGGAGAGGATTCAGGTCTAGTTGAAACATCCAGCGTTGCGGATTGTAATCCCTTCTTCTGAGTCTTCACAGAGGCTTTCGCATTTACATTTAACGCTTTTAGCTGACGCGCTTATCCCAAGAGACGGGTGAGGGGTTAGGTCCCATGCAGTGTCTCAGAGACAGAGTGACAGCTTCACGTAGAGCAGGATGCTGCTCTTTAACTTATTTCTATCCAACAGTCGATAAAGGCTCAGTCATAAAAATAAATGACCTAAAATATCCAAATTAAAGTTGCACCCTTTTGCATCAGTTTAAACTTGCATGCAGCAGTATCACCTGTCACAGCCAGAACACTGGGACTGAATATGAAAATGTATCCCTTCCTCATTGATTTGACTGAGTACAATCCTATTTCAGGACCAGGGACAGATCTCAGCACACTTCAAGTCTTACAACTGCTTGATGCTCCATGTCATTTCCAATAAACTGATAGAAATAAAACAATGCATTGATTAGTATCTCTTTATTTTACACAAAAGTATGTGATGCTATATTCAAACATGCCTCAATTATGATGTCCATTTCTCCCCTATAAAGTGCATTTTTCTTGCAGTGTTTTCCAGGAATGTCTGTGAGAGGGCAAAACTCAGCGATATGAACACTCATTAATGAGTCATTTTTTCTGGATCAGGAGGACAGAGGTTTGGGACTCAGTATTATTGCTCAAGGCCTGCTCAGTGATTTGTCACAGAGCCATCAGTATACTCCACACAGTGATGCCCTACTATAGGGCGGAAAATCCAGTTTGTAGAAGTGAGATGCAAGGCAGAATTTAAGGCTTAACAATGCTGTCATAATTTTCTGCTATATACAGTAAGGCAAGGCAAGTTTATTTATATAACACCTTTCAACACAAGACAATTCAAAGTGCTTTACAAAAATGAAAGACATTAAGAGCATTAAGAAACATTAGTAGGTCACAAACTAGTGTTGTATAAAAGGTATGCAAAGGACAAATAGACGTTTACCGGAAAATACTAAAAGGTGTCATTTTTTCGTGGGTTTTTTACATGAAGTAGAAAGTCCCTTATTACATCACTGACAGCATTTACACTGATCAGTGTTTCATTCTGTTTTGTATTTCATGTTTGCTTTTCAGGTTGTTTTGGGTTTTGAGTGTCTTTTAAGCCATGTTGTTATAAATCAGAGACTTTTACTGCTGCAGAGCTGAGAGAAGGCGATGATGATGGGAGCGCACCCTTGACTTGTGGTTTTGAGGAGGCAGCGGTCACGCTTTACCCTGTTAATTCAGACTATATTGTGCTGGAGAGGGGTTGCTAAGCAGCCACATGGGACTGAGTGGGATTCAAACAGTGGAGATTTAGAGCTACAGTGAGCATGCCACTGATCTCTTTTTATGTGATGTGAGGTTTCACTGCTTACATTATACATAATATTGTAATATTTGTGGATTATGTGACCCTATAGTAGAGTGTATGGGAAAAAAACAAAAACTACTTCATATCATTAGATGGGGACAATAAAGAAAATTGAATCAGGGTTTATTTGCTTTATTTGTTTACTACATTCACATCTCTGGTATTGAAATTGTATAATGAGACTTGGAGTTCATTGTTGTCCCCTGCTTTGGGATGAGTATCTCCCATTATGTGCTATAAAACTTGCTTCTTATTCATCTCACTCATCCTCCCATTAGAGCAAATTTGCCTCCTGTCCTCACTTTATTTCCTGTTTGGGCGCCCCTCCCAGATTAGACTCACCCTTTTGGAAAGGGTTGTATTTCATGCAACTTCAGCATGAATAATGTAAGACAATATGGGTCCCATCTGAGCATGAAGTAAGGAATGTATGTGCTGTTGCATTTCATTGACAATCGTGGATTTTGAAGGTTCTAGCTTTTTAATCTGCAGTAAGGCGTTGGCCAAAACACCTCAAAGAAAGGTGTACAAACTCTGTTGAGTAAGAAATGGTTTTAAATGAATTTCTGAACCAATAAACGTTCACGTTTTCTGATGAAATGTTCATTGTTAAAAGTAGACTAAAATGCACTGTTGTGCAGCCTTGAAAGCAACAACTAATACAGGCCCAAACCTTTCTGCAGAGTTATTATCCCTATGCACGCAGTAAAAGCCTGCCACCCCATTTCTTCCCTTCCCAGGCACTTTTCTCCCACTCATATTTCCTCATGAAAGAGACAGAAGTGTGAGCTGGCATGTTATGTGTAAAATAATTAACCTTGTTGTATTGGGCCAAAATAATAATTAAAGTAACACTTTAATTTTTTTTTAGCTCCCTTCTGTTTCAATAAAAACAACGTTAACTTCATGCTTTATTTGATAAGGCCTAAAAATAAGGTAACCCATTACAGAATAGTAATTATCTTATAATGGTTTATTCTTTACTGATGCAACCATTTCAGTGACATTGAAAATGTTCTTTCATGCAAGTTTATGATCAACAATCAATTGCATTAGATGTGAACAATAATCCTTAAACTTGGAATTTGAATCTTTATTTTAGTGATGTGATCAAATAACCAGCAGACTCCGACCTCATTGTTTTTTTCCTCAATGTATCTTTTTAGAGCGATGCAGATCTGTAACTACTCCTTTGGTCCTTTGCAAATGTATAAATGATCCCCCCTCTGTTCATCATCAGATCATTGTCAGTGTATTGTGAATGACTAAAATGGTCATTCACAATTTCCTTTACAGCCTTCTGTCTCAGCCTGTATGTCTCTCTGTCAGAGGCTTCTTCAACAGCTGCAAGACAGCGGAGCCCATGGTGGACAGCTGTATGAACAATAATGTAAGAGGAGAACATGGTGGTTTTTTTTTAATGGGCACCATTTGTTCACTGCTTTGCACACTTTCCCTGGATTTTTTCAAACAAAATGTGTGTATGTATCAAAACAATGGCTTTGCAGTTGGTAAATCCATTAATTTATAGTCCATCCCCATTAAACACTCAAAGTTGTCCTAAAAGTTTGAGATTGGACTCGAAAGATAAATCATTTGCATTAAGTGCAGTGCTGTTTAAATGTTTTACGCCTACTTTTGATTTGTTTTAATATTTGTATAACATATAATGTTCCCTTTTTCATTCATTTTTCTCAATCTGAAATAATGTCTCCTACAAAGTTATATGATTCAATTTGTATTTTATTGGTGTTTTTAAGTTTTTATTCACACTTAATGTGAAAAATATCCCTCCTTTAAATTGTTTTAGCTGTAATTTGGCCCTTCATAGTATTTATTTGTCAGACAGTCTACAGATTTGTATCTTTCAAGGGGGAATTTCATTTTTCATTTCATTTCAAAACTTTCATTTTTTACTTTTTTTAGTTCTGTTTTATTTTTCTATTTTAAGTTGTTTCTATTTTATGTTTTGTTTACCTTTTTTATTTTTCAAATGATGTGCAATGGCTTTGTTTTAACATGCTGCTGTAATGAAAACATTTAAATAAAGTATATCTTATCTTTATTTGTCTTATGTTATACCTATATTTTTAACTTACACTTTGTATGTGTTGAGTGACTGTCCTTTCTCCATTAATATATATTGAACTTGTTTAGGGTAGTCTGAGTTACAATGATTGTCATAGCCAGGGACTGCTTCACACTTCTTCATAAGAATAAAGAACTTGGAAACTTAATACAAGCAGCAGTGTCACCGTACGGCCGGCAGGTAGCGCTGCATGTTGTAAACAGGTCTGCCACGGGGCTGACTTGCTCAGTTCTCCATTTTGTATGTTTTTCTTGGAGGTTAGCGCCTACTTTCCTAATGGCTAGCTGCGACTCTCCACAGCTCAGCCAGTTTGAAGCAGTTTGCATGACAATTAACAGATAGATCGAACTACAAGATTGATAACTCTTAAAACACAGTGAGCTTCACATGTTTGTGTCGTTTTACCGAGCCATGTAACTCTACCAGTGAGGACTAACGTTAACAAACATTGGGTCAATGTTGCGTATTATGGACTGCCACTTTCAACCAAAACAATGTTGACAGACGACCTGTGGACACATACCAACAATCAGTAATTTCAAGGGTAAATATGAGCTTTTGTTCAGATTTGAGTAGATATCGTTGTATTTGTTAGTCTAAAATAAATACAGTAATTTAACGCACTTAACAGGAATATGCACGTATAAATGCTATGTTGGCTAACAGGCTAACGTAACTGTCAACGAAATGAGGCTGTTAGCCACATTGCTACTTAGCATGCCAACAGTTAGCATTGAGCTATCTTTAGCATAGCTTAGACTTGAGTCAACTTTAGAGTTTAGTCATTATCGGTAGGACCAATGTTATGTGTGTTTACTTTATGTACACCGTATATGCGGTGGACACTACTGACTATGCACTCGTTAACATTTAGCCAATGGGAATAACAGCTAACGTAGTTAGCTACCTTTAGCTGCGTTAGCAATCAAGGGCGCGGAGGGGGGCATGCTGTCAACTTTCCCCTGTCTAATATTGACCTAACGTCTGGTGCTTGCTCCCTGGATGTGCCCAACCTTACAACATTATTATTATTACCATCTTGCCGGGACAACAGCTGGACATTAGCCATGTTTGCTAAAGCTGCCCCATTTACTGTTTTTTGTGACAGTTGATCAATGGGGACTGTCCACGACACTATAAACAAATAAACTAAACTAAACCATTACAGTGTAGCACATCTGATTATCTGATTGATTGATTGATTGATTGAAAAGTTTATTAACAGCTTGTATATTGGGTACAGTACAGCTCAAAACATACAATTGTTAAGGGAATGCAGACCAGAGAAAGACTTTCGTCTTGTTTACATCAGGGTCCCCCATTTCCAATTCATCATATAACATCTCCCTTTACTGTGTGTCAATGCAATTGTTTTGTACTGTATTTAGCTATGTCTTAACGCTCTCTATTTACCCCCATCCCACACACATATATAGATGGATAAAGGTGGAGTGAAAGATAACATACAGAAGAGATGACCATTTAAGCAAGTTAGTCTACACTGAAAGCCCTGAGGAGGGAGGTCTATTAAAAGTGGCTCCTCGCAGTGCCATGTCCTTCACCTCACTCGTTCTTCCATCCACCCCGTTGATGCAGCCAGGTCAGGTGCCTAACGGCCTCAGCAACAGCCACCTAACAGAGCTCTCCTCCGCCTCCGTCACTGCCACTGTTGGCCCCTTATTGGAAGACCCAGAGACCAGAGGCCTGATCAAAATCCAAAAGCTTCACCAGCAGCACTTTCTCCAGACACAGACTTCCACTACGTTCGGGCGTCAACACTTTAGGGAAAGTTTGCCCCAGTTGGAGGCCAGTACAGCAGATATTAACCAATCCTGCATGGATTCACTTATTGGAGGATCAGATCCCAATTTCTTCCACACGAAAACAGAAGATTTTTCAATGGATAAAGGTGATCAGGATCCCATTGACCTTGATCATGCCTTTGATCACATTGGAAAAGATGTTGATGTGACCCAGAAATTTTTCACAGACAACACTCTGGACCTGCTCCAAGACTTTGAGCTCACTGGGTCTCCCTCAGATTTTTATGTAGGGGATGATGCCTTCCTGTCCACTCTTGCAGCCGATACTCTGCTTGGAGACGTTGGCTCAGAGAGAGACATAAAGCCTGCCTTGGTTGAGAGCATTAACAGCAGTGGGGCAGTCTCAGTTTCTCTCAATGGCAGCAATATGACAAGTCCAGGTCAGTCCAGCCCAAGCATATCCACAACGTCCTCCTTAACCCCTACAGCCACTTTGTCTGCAAAGGTAAAGAAAGAAAAAGATGCTGGCTTCATTCAGCTCTGCACCCAAGGCGGAATCAAACAGGAAAAGACGTCTGCAGGCCAGAGTTATTGCCAAATCAGTGGCGCGGCCTCCACAACGTCCATGTCCACATCTAACACCATCTCCATCTGTGGGGTGAGCACTTCAAGTGGACCAAGCTACCACTTTGGAACCACCTCCAGCAGCAATGGAGCTCAGCAGCAGAAGGATCAGAAGCCGGTGTCCAGTCTGTTTCTCCCAGTGACGACCATCGGCGGGGCCTGGAGCCGAATCCAGAATATCGTGGACAACTCCGCCATGCTCAGGGCCAGTGAGGCATTCTCCAGCTCCTCCTCTTACCCCATCAGCTTTTCCAGGTAAGAGATGTAGCCAGTGTGTGGTCTGACTAGACCTTTCGTTTTTGTCTTACTAACTAGAGCTACTTCATTTATGTGGTGAGTCCAGTTAGGTCTTATTTAATCCACCCCTGCATTACTAGACATATAACATAATTTTTTTACTGAACTAGGGGCCCTATTTATAAAGCTTTCTATTATAAATAGTTCATAGAATTATGACATTTTCTAAGAATTTCCCCTTACAGTAAATACAGATTCTGGTTTAAATAAAATGTACTGATAAAGCCACTCAAGAGAGCTCCTAAGGTGAAACACTGGTATGAGTATGGAGGAGGACTTGAAAGGGGCTTAAGAGTTTTTCAATGCAAAGAGGAAAATGGCTTGTTCACTGGTTTATCATAGATTTACTTGCAAAAAATATATCTATAGAAGTCTGTGTGTGTGTATATTAATAAGTTTCTATAAGCTACTTATATAGACTGGCCATCAATCACATGAATTAATGAAAACTAAATGTCCCCCTGTTTTTATCAAATGACCAGCAAGAGATATTAACCTAAGCAAATTCAAATAACAATTATCAGCATATTAAGATGCAACCGCACAAGTAGGCCTATTTTTTACATGTCCTTTTGCCCCATACTACAGGTTTTATTGAACTGGACAGCCTTTCTTTATCCTCAGCATGAACACAACACTGACGTTTAAATGCAGCTTCTGATCCACCGGCCTTTAGAGGCATAACCTGAGAAGTGTCATCCTGAAGAGGCTTTTAGCTTACTGATTCTCACTGACTTCTCACTGGACTTCTTTTTAATTAAAAAAGCTCTCTGCGGATTATATGTTTATTCCACTTTATGGTTCACTTGTTTGTCACGATGCCTGTTAAGAAATGGTTATAGTGATATAAATAAGGTGTCTTCAACCCTGTTTACACCTTGTAATAATTTGTGCAATCAGATCACAATTGGATAGCCCTAAATCCAAATGTACACGACCTCCAAGATTTTGACATTTGACCACATATGTTTCGTAGTGTAAAGTTGTACAAATCTTTATTACGCCCACATCTTCACAGCTTGACTTCTTCTGATCTTACCTTTTACAATAAAAGTCATAGACAGCGCATCACTACATGCCAGAGAATACCTCAATTCACTCAGAGCATTTTGCGTATAGGAGACTCAACAGAATAACTTACACTCATAGGCGGCGCGTGAGGCTCAGGTTTGGGAAGGCAAAATCACTTTTTTTTTACCTGACGCTGCCCGCCTCCGGCGTCTATAGAAAAGAGATGAACTCAGTGAAAGCACCGCCTGCTGACCAATCAGAGCTCAGCGTGCGGAGTTTAAATCTATCAAGTCATATTACAGGATAAAGGAAATAGAGTTTAAACTTCCGTATGCAGAGAAGACGCCGACGTGTCGCACTTATCATTCATATCACACTGATATCACATCATCAATCAGTACATCGATCATATAATATATCATATTTCCTTATCTGAGTCAGCTGAGCCGTATCTGGCCGTGCAACACCTACATTGTCACATATATGCAGACGTATTATTTTAAGCAACACATTAAGTTGACGAAACACTCAACTCAAATGTAATTAAAGTCAGATCCACTCGTGTCTTAGTGATATCATAAAACTGTTGTACGCATTCAAACACTCTGTAGTTATTTTTCAACCACTTGTTCTGTATTCTCCTTGCAGCAACTATGTGGCTTGTATCCTGGATTATATGTTTAAGTCATGGATGGTTAAAGTTCATATTTGTCTAATATTAGTTTACTTATCATTAATGAAGTATGACGCTTGTCACACTTGTCCCTGTTTGTGATTGGTCAAATGTTGCTAACCCCGCCCCTTTCATGTGAATGCGCTCTCAGCTGGTGAGAGAATCCCTGGCTTGATTTACCGAGTTGATATTAACCAGCGTCGTAGGACCGCTTAGCGAGATCTCGTTTGTTAGGGTTAGTTAAAATAACTCAAACATATCCAGGGTCTGTGGAACTGGCTTCGTAGTACAGGGCACAAGTGGCTGCATAGCAGCGCTAATGTCAAAGACACAAACATTATACATTATATTTTTATTTTACCAGGATGCAGTGACACAAATATTAGGGAAGGCTTAGCCTTCCCTAGCCTACAGTACCCGCCGCCCCTGCTTACACTGACTTTATCCACACTGCAGTCTAAATCGTTAAAAACACCATTCCATTTGGTGTTTGTCAAAACAAAGAATTATTTTCTTAGGTGAGATCCAATCACAAGAGGTCATGTGAAACGCAGGTGCACTTAGAGCTGTCAAAAGATAGAGATAATGCGCAGTGCACACAGGGATTTGGACAGCTCATGTCACCTGAATGTAGTCAACAAAAGGTCAGGCAGACATAGGGCTTCATACACACTGATCGAACACATTTGTAAAGCATCTTGGCATTATTCTTTTTGATATGCTTATTGTAAGTCGCTTTGGATAAAAGCGTCAGCTAAATGCAATGTAATGTAATGTAATGTAATATGCCGTTGACAAACATTTTCATCGGTACTACAAAAATATTTTTTTGTTTTTCAGCCATACTTGTTTTCAAGTAAGGCTGGCTCTCTTAACTGGAATCACCAGTGAAGCGTTGGTGATACCAGACGACAGCTTTCACAAAGGTGGTTATCAGCTTGTGGCGCTAGTCCAGGATTATCCTGTTTATGAGTTTGCACAAATGAAGGAGTTAGAATTTGTGACAAACAGCCAAGACACACACATCATCAGGCAACCACATGTTAAAATATTTATCCCTGTATGGAAATCTAGACAATGCAGTTGCAACTCAAAAAAGTCAAAGATATTATACTTTTGTTGGATACATTTTTTTGTTTCTTTTATAGTTTTATGCAAGTCAAAGCTCTTGAAGTCATCAGTGATATTATACAGTCATTTCAGCACACATTTGATGTGTCCAAGTCTTATTTTGTAGTCACTGTGTAACACTTGGTGGAAACAAACTTCTGCTTTATTTCCGAATTTCTAACACATTTGATGGATGAGTGGGTGGACGTTTCATACGTTATGAAAAGCTTTAACAAAAGCTGCACCTCACCGGTTTTGTTTGGGGTGTTGGTTACCATAGAAACAAGGCTTGATGATTCTAAATCAGGCTATCGACCTGAGACAAAAACGCCATGATCACCCCCTTAGTTAGTTATTCAACCCACATATCTGCTGTGAGAGATAGTCGTGTGGACTCGACAGGAAGTGGCTGCAGCAATAAGCAGTGAGATCTGGAGAAAGGATGTGCTGTTTGAAAGCCAGGGGAATTCCACCTTCATCAAAGACAAACATCTCGTCTTTTGTTCTCTTATGGCACATTTCCACTGCAGTGGGGTAGCCCCGTTTAAGCGTCCTCGCTCTGGCCTCGGGCTGCCTCGCTGGCCGTCCGAGGCCGTGGCGCATTTCCATTACAGTTTAGGACCTGGGGTAGCAACGCAGTGTAGGCAGGGCGATCGGCTTTGTTGTTCCGTCGAGCTCCCGCTGGATTTTATCATCCCCAATGAGATGTAGGAACGTCGTCACCTCCTCGGTCGACCACGGTGTGCTTTTCTTTGACGTTGCCATTTTTGTAGCTCCTCCGTTTACAAAAATGCTGTGTATAAAAATGCTGCAAGCTTGCTTCTAATATATGCGACGCTAGTGATGATCTCGCGCGCCATCTTGTGATGATTCTCTCTGACCAATCAGCAGTCGAGAGTGTTGACGTCACTAGTTCAGCCCTGGCCCTGGCCTGATAGAACCACGATTTTATGGGGCCAGAAAAAGAGGGAAAAAGTACCCGCTAGCCGGTGCTACGCTATATGGAAAGGCCACCAAAAACCGGCCTGGCCGCTTGAGGACGATTAAGGACGCTTAAACGGGGCTACCCGCTGCAGTGGAAATGCGCCATTAGTATCAGTGTGTTTATGGCATGTCCCATTTGCAATGTGGATCAAGAGTTTTCCATGTCTGGACTCGAAATACCACATGCATATGCATGGTAGTGCACTTAAGTTTGGGATGTACATGTAACCTAGCTTTACATGCAACAGTGCATATAACTGTTCAGGGTGGCCAACTCTTACACACTTTTCACACACTCTCAGTCTCACGCCACACGTCCATTTTCTCACACAATGAAAACACATTTTTAACTGATGACATCTTGATGCGTACACGTCACACTGCCAGTGCACGGATAAGACGGATAGTGCAACAGAGCTCAGCAGCAGCAGGGTCTAAAAACCGGGCAGTCACTGCTAGGATTTTCATGTGTGTTCATTGGGCTGTTATGGTACAGGTACTTTGAATGGCCACAAAAGAAAAAGCTAGCTTAACATTACAGCAATAACTTGTAGAACCCCATACTGTGCAGAATGACTCAGCAAAAAAAAGCTTTGAAATATTCCTTTCCCTGAAATTGTCAACATCAGTTTGCTCAGTTGTTGTACTCTTCAGTTTTTGAGAAAAATTAAAGTCAGTTCAGATAACATTTCCTCATATTTGTACTTTATAAGATAATATTGCAGCTGTCAATTTTGGATTTCTTGCGTTCAGTTTCAGCTGCAGTGTAAGTGCAGAGAAAGAAAGATAAATAGTGCATTCAAAAAGGTGGTGCATGTGATCTGCAACAATGCATGTACACAGAAGACAAGTATTTAGAGCCTGGCTTTTAAACCAAATATTGTTTTATTTTATTATTGTTTCACTCTAGTTCTCTTTAATCCTACTCAAAAATAAACCTGAGATGGGCACTGTCTTTGCTTGAGGCAGATCAGACCCTTTATTCAACAGTAGAGTTGAATTCACTGTGGCCTTAAAGGTGACATGTCATGCTTTTCCGGTTAGTACCCGTCCCCTTGTGTGTTATGAAGGTTTGTATGCATGTAAATGGTGTGCTGAGTCAAAACCCTCAAAGTACACCCTGAAGTAGCGAGTAAAACTCTAACACAGAAAATACCTCCCCAAAACGCCTCGTTGGAGA